TAATTATAATTATTCTAACTATTTTCTTCAAAAATATCATATTTTGCCTATTATTGGAAAGCATGTTATAATATCACACAAACATTATGTGCATCCTATGCTTTATTTAGCTTGAAATGTGTCAAGATGTTCTTAAATTGTCAGTTTTTGCTATGTCCGTTTTTCAGTTGAGGGTGTCTTGGTTTCAAAATAATGAATTAAAGTTAAATAAAAAAAAGTATTCATTTATTTCAAAAGTCTAAATACTAAAGAATAATAACATCTTTTTAATTGATTTCCTCCTTTAAATAATTTAAATATCTTAATATATGAATGTCCGCAAAAGTTGTCAACTATGTTACTAACAGAACTCCCCCCTTTAACTAAAAAATGGTTTGTCCAATACCATGTCACATGATGCCATGTTCCTCTTTGGCAGACATTTTGAACACACTGTGGTGATTGTCCTCTAATTTTTTACAATATTTTATGTATAATAGCACATTGTCAATGAGTATATTAATTGACCATCAACAATGTTACGTACATTGTTATGGTTTACAATTGTTTAATGATTTTAATTCAATTATATGTTCAAATGTGATGTTAACCTGTTCAAGAAAATGACATGTGGTCATCCAATTTTGCACTTATGCCTTGAAATGAACATAGTGCTGATGGTTAATAATGTGTCCAGTCAACTATGTTATTTGCGTCAAATGTTTGACTTTCATTGTCAACTATGTTGCACCTCATTTTTTCAAATTTAAAATATCTAAAATAGTGCTTCTGATATCCTTTATAGTATAATGTATATCTACACAGGTTGGAGTTTTACATGACATCTCTTAAAACTATCAAAATGACCTGTATGGTAGTTTTATAATACAAAATATCCCTAAACTTAATGACAGTGCTGAACATATCACATGAAAAAACAAAACTTTAAAAAATCTTTGGATATATGGTAGAATAGACTCAAGAGCCTTTCAAATGTGATTTTACTTGAAGTGCAGGACTTAATCAAATGATTGTAATGACATCAAGTTTGTCCGTAACATAGTTGACAAACTGAGTAGTGAAAACATCCTTTCCCTTAAAATAAAATAAAATAAAAAAATGTTTAAGCTTTGCAACTAGTGGATATGTTACACTGAGGAATATACTAACTTGAACCACTGATTGTTCTATTGAGAAAGAACACTTTCTTTGTACTGTTTTGTTGATGTGTAATGCACCCTAAATTATAGAATCAGTCATAAATAAAATCATAAAAGTGATATGATGAATGATAGAGGAATACTTTATATGATTGACGTGTTATCGGAAAAATAAATGTACTGGCATATATACTGTAAATCACTCCAGCAGGCAAACGGCAGGTTACTTAGTTTTCTGAAGAAGAAAATATACATGTTATCAAAGTGTTAAATTAAGTTAAATTATCCTAAATCAGTGAAGTGTAAAATAAAACATACCGACTCTCCATCAGAACCGGAGTACAATCCCACGACTCTTTTGAGTGTGTTTGCAGAGACAAAACTAACCTCTGTTTAACATTAACATATTTATATTAGTAAACATTTTTTAGGTTAGGTCTTTAACCAAACATCGTATTTCTATGCCCAACTAGTTTAAGTCGAATTTGAAAGTATTTTAAAGCATTTAAGAGGGAAATTAGAGAGGAACGTCACAGATTTACGACTCACACGGCAGCATTTGAGGGAGGTAGAAAGGCTTCCCATTAAAATAATAACACAATATTGAGGTTAATTTCACTTTTACATGAAGATAAACTCCTTTGCTATGGTTTAGGGTGAAGTTTACACTATATTGTTTCCTCCAGATGTGATTTTATTACATGTGTTCATGAAGAGAAAACACAAAGTGGCACAGTATGCCTGCTGCTCCTGTGAGACAGGCTGCGATTGAGTCTCTACGGTTCTCATGGTGTGTTTAAGTTCCGCTCTTTGCTGGGATTTCTCTCTCAGTCTCACCGAGTCCAGAGAATCCACTTTGAAAGCAACATGGCAGAATCCGCTCCCGCCGCCGCCGCTCCGGCCAAGGCCCCGAAGAAGACAGCCACCAAGCCGAAGAAGGCGGGCCCCAGCGCCGCTGATCTCGTGCTGAAAGCCGTCACCGCCTCCAAGGAGCGTAAAGGGATTTCCTATGTCGCCCTGAAGAAGGAGCTGGCCGTTAAAGGCATCGACAACGCCAACCAGGTGAAACGCGCCGTGAAGAAGTTGGTGGAGAATGGAGCCCTGGTGCAGGTCAAGGGAACCGGAGCCAGCGGCTCCTTCAAGGCAGCCAAGGCCGCCGAGAAGCCCAAGAAGGTAGCGAAGAAGCCCGCAGCCAAAGCCAAGAAGCCGGCAGCAGCACCAGCGAAGAAACCCGCCGCTAAGAAGCCAGCCGCCAAGAAGGTAGTAACACCCAAGAAGGCGAAGAAGCCTGCTACTGCTGCTAAGAAAACCTCCGTGAAGAAGATCACAAAGAGCCCGAAGAAGGTGGCGGCCAAGAAGGCAGCACCCAAGAAGGCAGCGACCCCCAAGAAGGCAGTAACCCCCAAGGCAGCGACCCCCAAGAAAGCTGTGAAGAAGGTGGTTAAACCAGCTGCCAAACCAGCGAAGAAGGCACCAGCCAGGAAAGCATCGAGGAAGTAAACAGATCATCTACTTCATCTCCAAAAGGCTCTTTTAAGAGCCACCCACATACACCAAAAGAGCACTTGTCCTGTTTCAATATTACATGTTTACATTTTGCAACACCAGAGTACCTTATGTTTTACAAGAAATGAATTAACTGATATAAAAATGACTTGAATGAAACATGAATAACATTACCTGGTATACTACATTCATCTATTTCCTTTTAGTACAATATATTTCATTATGTTGTTATATAAAGACATCTACTTACATATTCTCTCAAACATTATCCCTTACATGTACATTATTTCCTATATAACATTGTTTTAAAATACATATTTCATAATTACATACTGTTATTATATTAAAATGTGTCTGTACTACACATGAACTATTACCCTGTCATACCCAAGTCAACTATATGTATCATTTTTAATATCTGTATTTTATACTGTAGATATACTTATATTCACTGTTTATTTGATTTTGCATCTTATTGCTTCTATACTTTATCCAAACGTGTTCCAATAAAAAAAACGGTCCGATTTTGGTTTTTGATAACAACTTCATTCAATTTTCCGAAATGTATTGAAGAATGAAGAAAAGCAGTCCGGTGGACCGGAAGTTAAAAAACATATTTCAAAATAAAAGACACGAGAATATGATGGCAATGCTGTACAAGTTCAATCCTGGAACCCAGAAGTCTGACGAGGATACGTTTATTTCTGCATTCACATGCAGATATGCGTTTATAGAGATTAATACAAGTATGCAAGCTCTTTGCATAACTTTAATTCGCTGACTTCTGGTTTGTACAACTTCCGGTTTGTACTGTGTCTGTAAATCCAGTGTCCAGCTTGTCGCTGTGTGACAACCATAGACTGGTGACAACGTCATGTTTGTTGCATACCTGCAAGATTGACCTGTGACAAATGTCAGCGATGTGAACAGAACTGTCGCCCTACTTTCACCTGCACCCAGCAGCAAGCGGGAGAACGATATCTCATACAGTCGACCCCTAAAACAGTTCACTCAGTAATGGAACAGTTGTTAAGCATTATTTTGTCCAACTAGTCTACATAATGAATTTGATGTTTGTCTAAACTCTAAGAAGCTGACAGCTGAGTTAGAACAGAAAGACATGCAGGCCATAATCACTAGACGCTCAAAAGAGGAATGTGTGTGTTAGGCTTACATGAACTGAATTGAAACACTGTCCATTAGTTGATTAATAAACAAGACATTCAAGTCAAAGTTTTAGGCATTTTCATTTGTAGCACGCTGTAAATATGGACTATGAATGAACACATGCAATGTGGAAACACAAATAGGTTTATTCTCAATACTCATAACATGTATCAGACACAATGGCTTTACTAAGAGTGAAGATGACATGAACATAGTTACTGTATGGTACTGAAGACAAAATACAGTATATTGCATTTACCTCTTCCTCTAACTCTCTCTCCAAAATTGGCCTCCATTGTTGTGCACAACAAAGTTTTCAAGCTCAGGTTTCTAAGTGATATAATCACTATTACTACTACTAGTAGTCTACTAGAACTATTCTTTATACATCCATGGGTACAACTTCAGATCAAAATGAACACATAATGAAATATGACCCCCGGTTTGATGATTAACAGGTCACAGAACAATGGGGGCTATCTACCCTTACCCACAATTTAAAGTAATGGCGCATTTCCACTACAGCGCGGAGCGCGATTTAAGCGTGCCGTGCCGTGCAGGGCCCGTTTTTGGTTGCGTTTCCACTAGGCGTAGTACCGGCTAGCGGGTACTATTTCACCGTTTTTCTGGCCCCATAAAATCGAGGTTCTTTCCGGGCCAACAACCAGGCTGAGTCGGGCTGAGTATGCTAAACTAGAGAGAGAGAATCGCTGGCAAGGGGGCTACAACTACAACAAAATGAACATATTTGACCGTGATTTAATTGTAATACACGTTTCTAAATGATGCCGAAGTAACAACATACTGATACCGGTTAGTAAAAACCATGAATTAATGCTTTGACAAGTCTGCAGACAGACGGCAGGCGAAACACCTTTTAAAATGCGTGTTTTCTAAATGGAGATTGGCTAAGCTAACGCAGTATATGCTCCGACCGTCCACACTCACAACAACGGCCTATACAGACATGCAAAGCGTATATATTACAGCACGATTTTTTGTTAGATTTGAGTGGTTCAAATTTATTTAAAAAGTGGGTCCTGAGGCCTGACCAGTTGAGAACCACTGGACTAGGATGTTCAAACACAAATACTACAGTGTGTACACTTGATATGTTGCTATATATATATATATATATATATATATATAAACCCATAAATGGTTACATTTCAGGACTTGTTCATATATAAATATATCTCAGGACTAATTATATTAACATGTTTACAGACCAAAATTATATATTGAATTAGTTGTTTGTATGGACTTTATCTAAAAAAACACTAGATGTCAGTGTCTAGCCATAAATGAGAGCCTGCATTACAACCAAGTGGTAGTAGCAATATGGATCATCATCGTATGAGTTTAATGTGTTATTATGGACCGTGCCTTAATAATCAACGGGGTACAAATTGTTTATAAAGTAATATAACACATGTGTTTCAGGACGTGTTGCTCTGTAAGTGTGTGTGTGTGGCTCTTAAAAGAGCCGTTGTGTTTCAGTGTTCTGGTCTCAGGTCAGTTTAAGCCCTCTCTCCGCGGATACGGCGGGCCAGCTGGATGTCCTTGGGCATGATGGTGACCCTCTTGGCGTGGATGGCGCACAGGTTGGTGTCCTCGAACAGGCCGACCAGGTAGGCCTCGCTGGACTCCTGCAGAGCCATGACGGCGGAGCTCTGGAAGCGCAAGTCGGTCTTGAAGTCCTGAGCGATCTCCCTCACCAGGCGCTGGAAGGGCAGCTTGCGGATCAGCAGCTCGGTGGACTTCTGGTAGCGGCGGATCTCCCTCAGAGCCACGGTACCGGGCCTGTAACGGTGAGGCTTCTTCACGCCGCCGGTGGCCGGGGCGCTCTTACGGGCAGCCTTGGTGGCCAGCTGCTTCCTGGGAGCCTTTCCTCCGGTGGATTTACGGGCGGTCTGCTTGGTTCTTGCCATGGTTAGAGAGGGTCTGCTTCTCTGTTGGAAAAGTAGTAATGCCGTTGACTTGTCTGTGTCTCCTATATAGGCAGAGCAGGCGCGGCAACGACGCTGATTGGTCGAATGTATACACGTGACACTGCAGCTCAACTATTGGTTGGTAGAGATTGGAAAATTCAAATTTCGCGCTCATTTGGTAAACTGTTCTTATTATACATCCATGTGTGTGACATACAGCTTTTGTAACACTTTGTCTATGAATCAAAAGTCCAGCAAAGATGAATGATGCAAAAATTATTCTATACATTCATAAACTCTGAATTCTGCATATTGTAATTCATACATATTTTGATGTAAATATCGCTATATTTCTAATGTTATTATAGCATTCTTAAAATAGTTTTTAACAGTGTATGTATTTTTAAGCAAATAATTAAAGAAAAAAATCTAATTTTAAAAAGTAAAAATGTTTGCGACCTTGCTGGCATAGAAAGGGCTTGGGAGAGAAAGAGCCTTACAACATTATATTTTTCTCAAATCCAGTACAAAAAAGGTGTAACAAATGTAAAGTGAAAGTACAAAAAAGTTGTGTAAAATTAAAATTATAAACAACATTCCTTATGCAGAAAAATATACATATCTGCATGTCCTTGATTATGTACCCTGAATTCAGGTTCAAAATATTGTTATGTAATTCAGTATGCTGCTTCATTAAATACATTTAGCTTTAAACCTTTATACAGCCGACAAATGCTGTGAGTTATTATTTTGACACTGCAGCCTACTGTACATGGCGTATACTATACGCGGTTAAAGCAACATAATCCCACAGTTTAACACCTACAATATTTAACACGTTACTACTGAAGAGCACATTTCAATCAAGAAAATTATAGTTAGCAAAAATAGCTAAATATAGTCCAGTTACTCATATAGGTTTTGCAACAAATCAATTGAGTAGAGACAAGGCTAAATTAAAGTTTAATTACTTAAGAATTCAATGTCGTGTCTCCAACAAGAAAATGTTAAAACAAGTTACTAGCTAGGTAGCAAGCTAACATCAATTTAAAACCTTTGCAAGCAGCAGACAATCATTTTGACAAAAAAAGATGGTAAAATGACTTCAATGTGCTGCCAAGGTGGTTTCCAAACTGAGATTCTTCTTCCTTCTACTTTGACACAATTCTGCAATCTATATTGTATGCCTTTGAAGAAATTCCTGTGTTTAATGTAAACTACATGAAGATAAGACTGTGTATCTTGATGCATCAAGATTATTGTGGAGCCACTCTAGCCAACTCAACTGAAACAGAAACATTCTGTATCATATTGTACAGTAATTTATTGTTCATACTTTGTTCATCGAAGTGACACATTAATCTGTATTTACTAAAACCGGTAGATTACTGTACCAAATTCTCCGTACTATTACAGCTATTTGTTAGTTTAGGTTATTGTATGTATTTGGTTATCAATGTACTCTCACCAGGGACTAAGTTCTACCCATACCATAATAATACTGTACAGTGAAGCAATAGTAACACACTACTCGAAACAAACATCTATAACGAAATGACTAACATACACAAATAAATCAGCTGATAACATAATAATAAAATTACTAATACAAACAGTAATACTCAAATTCAAAATTGTTGTGTGCAATAAGCGTCACTATTAAAATATTGTAAAAGGAGTTGGATCTTATAGTAAAGTGGGTGGCTCTTAAAAGAGCCTTTGTGTGTTTCAGTCAGCATGAGTTTATCCCCCGAAGCCGTACAGGGTGCGGCCCTGCCTCTTCAGAGCGTACACCACATCCATGGCGGTCACTGTCTTCCTCTTGGCGTGCTCGGTGTAGGTGACGGCATCACGGATCACGTTCTCAAGGAACACCTTCAGCACACCGCGAGTCTCCTCGTAGATCAGACCGGAGATGCGCTTTACTCCGCCGCGGCGAGCCAGACGGCGGATGGCGGGCTTGGTGATGCCCTGGATGTTATCACGGAGCACTTTACGGTGGCGCTTAGCGCCTCCTTTGCCGAGTCCCTTTCCGCCCTTGCCTCTTCCTGACATAATTTCAGAGTTGTGTTAAAACTGTGAATGTTATTGCTGAGGAGACCGTTGGTATTTATAGCCAGTCTGCGGACGTGGTTGAGATCAGTTCAGCGGGAGAAAACAAGCTAACAACAGAAAACGTTTGAACAGTGATTTCACAATAAAGTTGCGCAATTGCCGATCTGGGTTATGGGTCAATCTTTAATTTCCCCCAGTGTTTCATCGACACCATATTCAGCTGTTTATTATCGATATAATTAAAGCACTTCTAATTTAGTTATTTTTTTCGTTATGATTTGGTTATTTTTACCAATTTAATTTTTCCATTTTGTGATATTCTCTCTTTGGATATTATCTGTACCTTATTGTGAGCTTTCCGAAGTACTACATAATAGGTATTTCACTACGAATAAAAGTAGAAAGAGCAGAAGCCTACATTAATGGCCAAAACAAAATGACAAAATTGACATGAAATTCATTAACAAGTTCACTATGATCAAACTATGTGTTGTCTCTTTACATGTATGCAGTGGCGGCGCCAGGGTATGGCTGGGGTAGGCTACAGCCATACCAAGAAATGGCTTAGCCCCACCATGAAAATGATGTTAAAGTAAGCAAAATAAAGTCCGCCAACTCGCGCGGAGTAAATTGCACAGACAGCAGTTAGTAAGATTGATTTCAGTAGCCACTTGTCTGGAAATACCGAAGACTAGAAACAGTTTTGAAAATGTTTGTCACGTAGTGATGTCTTCTCAATAAAACATCTTTGATAATGTCTTCTGGCCAATCAGAATCACGATAACGGTGTGGTGTTGTTGCAGGAAGTCCCGACGGAGAATACTTTTGCGGTAGTACATCTCTATATACATCGATACAACATTACGTCGATACATACAGTTCAATTTGGATTGAGACAGGGAAATAATCTAAACCTCACGCGTGGCGTTTCACTGTCAAGGGGGGCGATATAGCGTGTATGTACATTGCAAATACTGACTTGACCCCCACCACTGTATGGGTTAGCCCTACCCAGCGCCATAGATAGATCTCTCTATGAGGCGCTGGCCCTACCATAGATTACCCAACAAAAATACTCTGGAGCTGCCACTGCATTTATGAGGTGTCTTTCCTTTATTTTGTGTCACATAACAAAAAACTTTGATATGTCCTATGGACATTTGATTGTTTGATTTACTGTTTTTCGTATTCAAATATCCTATATTTATTCCTTTCATTTGTATAAATGTAAAACCCCTTCCCTTGTGAGGGATGGAGATAAAGCTAATATTATGAGACGCTTAAGAGGTCATGTTATTTATTCGAAAATGTGGTTAAAGCAATGACTTGTTAAACAGGATAAGTTGCATAAACCATTATGTTTATATTAAATGTAGTTTGCCTCACATTTAGGAAATTCTTTGAGATTCTAATAATCCATTTGGGATAACATTGAGATTTAACAGTCTAGTGTTAATGAATAATATAATTTCATAGCTAATTCCAAGCCTTTGTGCTGGTGTATGGTTCTAATTCCTTCACTTAAGTTTTTGTTTCTCTGATTTTCTACAATTAATTAAGTGATAATACTTGTCTGATGTTCACAGTCAGTGGGAGTTCTGCTACCAAGAGTTTGTGTCTTTTTGAGAGCCTTTGTGACCTTACAGGTTTAGATCTATCTGTCTAACACATTTCAGAATGTAAAAATATATGATAATACTCATACTATATAAATATAGTTGTATTGTGATATACATGAGAAAAGCTGTGCTAAATTAAGGTCTCTCACTGTTGAGTAACAAAGACTGTATTTAGAACACAGCCAGGGCCTGTCCTGATGTGAGTGTGTTTGCAGACAGCAGAATTACCTCTGTTTAACAAAAAGGTGTTAACACATTTGGATTTTTTTCACATTGAGTCTTTAATCCAACATTTCATTTCACTATATTACAAGTTTTAGGCGGATTATAATGTATTTTAAATCCTTTAAGAGAGAGATTACAGAGAAAAGTCGCAGATCTGTACCACTCACGGCAGCAGTTTTAGGAGGTTTAAAGCCTTCCCAATGAAAACACAACAATATTTAAAGCTTTATTTCGCTTTTATATGAAGATAAAGTCATTCTCTATCAATTCGATTAACCTTTGAAATTTAACTCGTTCTCTAAATGTGTATTTTTTACAGTTTTAGCTGAAGAGAAAACACAAAGTGGCACAGTTTTTCTGCAGCTCCTGTGTGAGACACTGAGTTGAGTCTCTACGGTTCTCATGGTGTGTTTAAGTTCCTCTCTTCGCTGGGATTTCTCTATCCGTCTCATCAGACTAGCACCGAGAATCCTCCTGACAGCATCATGGCAACAGAAGAAGCTCCCACTGAAGTCGCCGTCGTCGTCGCCGCCCCGGCAAAGGCACCAGCAAAGGCACCAGCAAAGGCACCAGCCAAGTCCCCGAAGAAGAAGGAAGCCAAGCCGGCCAAGAAGATTGGTCCCGGAGCCGCTGAGCTCATCTTGAAGGCGGTCACCGCCTCCAAGGACCGTAAAGGGATCTCTTACATCGCTGTGAAGAAGGCGCTGGCCGCTCAGGGCTACGAACACACCGCTCACATTAAACGCGCCGTGAAGAGGTTACTCGAGAAGGGATCACTTGTGCAGGTCAAGGGAATCGGAGCCACCGGCTCCTTCAAGGCCGCCGAGAAGCCCAAGAAGGTAGCGAAGAAGCCCGCAGCCAAAGCCAAGAAGCCGGCAGCAGCAGCAGCGAAGAAACCCGCCGCTAAGAAGCCAGCCGCCAAGAAGGCAGTGACACCCAAGAAGGCGAAGAAGCCTGCTACTGCTGCTAAGAAAACCTCCGTGAAGAAGATCACAAAGAGCCCGAAAAAGGTGGTGGCCAAGAAGGCAGCACCCAAGAAGGCAGCGACCCCCAAGAAGGCAGTAACCCCCAAGAAGGCAGCAACCCCCAAGAAAGCTGTGAAGAAGGTGGTTAAACCAGCTGCCAAACCAGTGAAGAAGGCACCAGCCAGGAAAGCATCGAGGAAGTAAACAGATAATCTACTTAATCTACAAAAGGCTCTTTTAAGAGCCACCCACATACACCAAAAGAGCAACAAGTCCTGAAACACATGTGCATATACTTTATAGACTAATTGTCCCTTTTTGATTATTAAAGCATGGTCCATAGTAACACATTATGATAACATATATATAAAGCAACAATGTAACTAGTATTCGTGTTTGAACATCCTAGTTGATAATGGTGTTGCTGATGCACTTGCAGTGTGTCATTTCATGATAAGACACTAACTATGTGGGCTGTCTATAAAATACAGGTTAGTTTAAGCAATATTACTTAAGATGTTACTTTTTACATGGTTATCTTATCTTGAAATAGTGCTGTATAATAGTTTGTGCCATGTTTGTTTTAGAGCTACTAAACTAACTCCTAACGGTATAATATACAACGGTCACATTAAATAACTGCTAATTGATAAGAGATAATAACTTCATTAATATATGTACCTAGATATACCTAATTTCTTAAAATGCTAATACAAAATAAATAAAGAACTGTTAGAAAGACACACGTGTTCATATTTAATCCACTACAATAGAGCCACTATTTTCGTTCTGCTCCAAACATTTGTTGGTGAACTCTGACATCTGTTGGATAAAGGCTGCTACTAAATATATCCTGTTGTGTATTCACTTCAATGTGCGTGAGGGCAAAAGATACCATCGAGTGCTTAAATGTTACGGTACGCTATTGATCGGTGAACTGCAGACACCTGCCAATAAGTAGCTACTAGTGTAGTGTAAACTGAGTTAAACATTAATGATGGGTCCAACAAACGTTGTGGCTTTATTTATGTGGACTGACAGATGTAGAAACCAAACCGCTATTCATTTGAGAATGTGGTGATTAACCTGCTGGATGTACGAAGGACATTGTGAAGAGGAGTTTGCTTAAATTTAAATAAGGCTATACTTTAGAGGCTACAACCCGAAATACAGATTAAATCATTATTAGTATTTAGGATTATATTTAAAGTGTATATTGCTCTATAATGTGAGTGTTTTTAGTTGAGACTTGGTGTAATATATATGGGCATAGATATGTCTCATAATTATTTGTGTGAACAGAAAAATAATTTGTGTGTAAATATGTGATTTGTAAATGTAAAACACCATCCACAAATGCATTTAAAAGATTTGCAAACTCACAAATAAATGTGCAAATGTAAAACGGATCTGCAAATGCGCAAAATATTTTTACAAATAAAAAAAAGATCTTTGAATATCTCTTTAACATTTACAACTTTAGATCAGGCATTTGTGAATCCATTTTGTATTTGTCAACCAAAAATGCGCTTGTGGATCTCACGTTTCTGCTTGTGGATCTCAAATCTCTGCTTCTGGATCTCAAATCTCTGCTTGTGGATCGTCTTTTTACACACACGGAGTTTTGAGACAACCTTTCCGCCGGTCTCGGCTAAAATCTACTCGTGTCACTCGGTTATTTTCGGAAGCCACGTGATGGCCTGCTGATGACGACATTTCCGCATGGTTTTCAAAGTAAGAGCATGATGGTTTGTTTAAAGCGCTGTTTTTTTAATGAACAGCGGAACGTTAGATGCCATGGCCATGGGAAGTAGGGGTGCTGAGGGTGCTGCAGCACCCCCTGACGGAGGACAGGGAATCTGCACGTCCACAAGATTAATGGAAATATAATACAAATATAATACAAAAAAAACTAATTTTCGGCATTGATGTAACAACATTCATAATTAAGTAAAGATAACACCCTTTTCACCCCGGTTACATTTTCCATTTCCCCTGAGAGGCTCAGTGAGGTAAAGGACTGTTTAAATAGTTAACTTTAGTCTAAGTTATCTCAGTGGGTCTCAAACGGTTTGGTCACAATTTATGTAAACAAATATTTCCAAGGCACTCCTTTATAATTATTAGGATAAATAAAAACAGGTTTGAAATCATTCCAATGTATACTATAGACAGTAAACCAAAAATATCCTTTAAAACTGGAGAGATTAAAAAATATGCATAAATAAATAACTGTTAACTAGGTAAAATAAGATATAAATGAACAACAAAAATAAAGTACGTTACATTTATTTGTTATTGGCTATGGTAGGTTATTGGTTATGTTCACATACTTATTTGATTATTAAAATGTAAACCGATCTTCTTCATATGGGTGTTTTAGAGTTGTACCCCCTAGATCCAGTCTCTTGTAATTATGCTCAAAGTGCTCCAGATTGAAGCATTTTACTTTAAAATGTTAAAAACAATCTTCCCGGGGGGGCATACCCCCGGACCCCCTTAGAGGATGTGACGTGTTAAAACATGTTAATACAATACTAAATACATTTTAAGCCTTTTTATATAAGCTGTCCAACATGTCAATAATGCGGCTTTCACACCAGTGCTTTTCCCATTCTAGCTCCGAGCTAGAGCTTTTCTGGTTCAGCTCCGGTTTCCCTTTTCTGCTCCCGCTCTGTTCACACCGCCCAGAGCCCGACTGGTGCTGCTGCGTCATGACGTCACCGTTTACATCGCTGATTTGCTCCCCAACGGCGCTCACAACAACAACAACAACAACAACAACAACAACAACAACAACAACGGGGGACTGCGTCGGGTCGATGATCGTGTTGCTTTTAATCATACGAAGCCAGATTAAATTAAATAACGACTTCTCCAACCTTATACTTTTCTCCAGAGTGCCGTGGTTCATTGTTTATTAATGTGTTTCAGCGGCATTTACCGACCGCTGCAGTGCTGCTGCTCTTCCACGGGAGTTTATTCTCCCGTTAGCTCCGGGTTAGCTCACACGGCTCTAAAGTATTCACTGTCTGACTGTCACACAAGCAGCTGATACATATCCCCAGTTCCCCTTAAAGTGGACCTATCATGGTATATTTAAATGATATAGGGCCATACCTATATAAGGTATATTTATACGTTTCTGTTTTCAAAATACCAAACAGATCATGCATTTTAGCCATGCCTCATTTTGCTCAATTTGCACTTTTTTTTTAGCTCTGCTCTGCAAGGGCAGATTCAGTGAGAACAGCACCATCTACTGGCCTGGCATATGTACTACAGCGTCTCCAGCGCTTTCGAACGGCAATGGTCATGGCTGTCTCCTCCTGATTGGTGGAGTTGGCCCAATAGCCGTAGCGCCACCGTCCTGACGTCAGGACAGTGTTCAAATCTGGATCAGTTTTTATCAGATCCGTTGCAGCCTCTTTTTTAGAGATTTGGGTATGGAGGAAAATAGAGAGGGTTGTGTTTTCTGACACTTGGTGAGTTCCCTGGAACACCGGGGACACATATTCATGTAGAAAAGACGTACAAAAGTGCATTTTGCATGATAGGTCCCCTTTAAGTTGCAGCCCATGTATTGATTCCATCCGATAGCTGCTATAATACAAAACAAAACGTCTCTCCACAATGATCAATAACAGCGAACAGATGGTCAAAGTAAGGTACAAATAAACAGAATCACACGAAGCCTGGTTAGTGTTGCCTGACTTTATAAAGTGTTTTTTTTTTTATAAGTGTGTGGTTGCCTTCTAGTCACTTTGCTCAGCGCTACTTCTTGTAGGCAAGCATGACGAGACTCTTCAGTCGACCCATGTTCAGGGGAGGTGGGTTTAGTTTCCTGCACGCCTCGACGGGGGGGGGGGGATGCCAGCTAAAATCTTGCCTAGGGCAGCAAATTGGTCAGAACCGGCCCTGGTGTCATCCCCACAGCACCCCCCATTTGAAACATGTTCCCACGGCTATGTTAGATGCATTCTTTATCACTGTTACGCCCAGATCTAGGGGAAACTAGGCGCAGCATAAAATTGCCCTCTCCCAACTCTTCCCACTCCCAAGAACATGGACACCGAGACAGAGAATGCCGTTTGGTCATTTTAATTACCAAAGTTTTTAACAAAGAAACGCAACAACCCACAAAACAAACAAATCTCTGAACACATAAATATTGCCTAATAAATAAGAAAAATAAACGTACAGGCTTCTTATCTACTCTGACGTATAAACAGGAGAAAACGAGAATCAACCAAAAGAAAAGGGTTTCACACTTTTGCATAAATGAAAGCGTGTCCAACAAGGACAGGTTAAAGTAGTTTCTTTTCTGAGGTTTTCAAGACAAGCAAGAGGACCAGTATACGGTATAAGTAGGACACAACAGGACAGATACGGGAGGAGGGAACAATATCTACACACAAATGACATAACGACCCAGGGTCGTAACAATCACCATCATCATCATGTTATAGTGATACAGTTAGTTTGTGTTAGTTTATTGGTTCAACTTTCTTCATTGTTTTTTTTGTATTCAGTCAAGCGGGTCAAAGTTACAAAGCACTTCACATCTTGCTTTTCTACAGATTACCTTACCACTGCACTGGTAAGGTAAAACTAGGCCGGTTAATAACGTATTTAGGTCAGCCTTAGTAAGGCTACATTAAATGCATATATTCCTGTCTATTGCTTTCATTTGTATTTAATGTTATTGTTTCCACACATTTCACAATTTGGGATGAATGAGGTATCTATCTATCTATCTATCTATCTGTCTATCTGTCTGTCTGTCTGTCTGTCTGTCTGTCTGTCTGTCTGTCTGTCTGTCTGTCTGTCTGTCTGTCTGTCTACAGATAGATAGATAGATAGATAGATAGATAGATAGATAGATAGATAGATAGATCAGTGGCGGCCGGTGGTCTTTTTTTTTGGTGGGGCTCTTGACGTACCGTAAGTGACCTACCCGGGGGGTCCGGGGGGTTTTCCCCCGGAAACTTTTTTCGAGAAATGACCCCTTAAATGATGACTTCTGGTGATGTTAGAGGGGGGGGGGGGAAAGGAGAAATCGAGGCTTAAAAATATGAGAAGACTGATCAATACCTCCATAATCTTCAGTGTGGAAAATATTATTTATCAACCTGAACATCTACTACTTTACCAGGAATTTGTGTTCTCAGAACTGGTCTGTTTTTTTCTTTCTTAAAACTGTTCATGTTTTATGAACCAACACCTTCACCAAGTAGCTTTACAGTGAACTGCATGTGAGATATAAAATTAATAGCATCTTTTCAGTAGCATTAATTATAAATATTTAAGTGGTTCAATACAAGTCACTACAGCATTTCAAACTGAACTGTGAATAAATGCAATTTAAAAAAAAATAACCACAGCACAAAATGTCATAAATTGTGTTTTTTCTTTGTTTCTCTGAGGATTATTTACAAACAGGCTTATTTACATATAGCAATAACTCAGAAATGAAAAAGCTACATCGTCTAACACGAACAACCACTTAGCATAATGATAATATATGTGTTATGTACAATGTAACTGGCAAGGCTAGAGCAAGAAAGAACATAAAGTTTGCAAAAGGTTTAAATAACTTCAAGTATCTGTCTTCAGATTACGTGGAGGTTTTAGTCCGATGGGAAGCAGATTTTAAGCGACACCGAAGATAAACCAAAAATGTGGTGGAGCTGCAAACCGTGTAGTGTTGCTGGGACAGAACAGGAGCTATAACCGTTGGA